GTCTAACTTTCAGTCAGGTACATAGAAATTAGATTTTTATGATTGATATAAAGAATTTTATCATGTTTTCTAATTCTTATGCTGATACTGCTATAGTCAATGCTGAGCTCAAAATTTTGACTTAAACTTAAATATAGTTATATCTATGTTAACTATGATACTATAAAATATAGTTACAGTACAAATATCCATTAGGCTGTACCTGGTAGAGCTCATGGTAAAGGCTTTGGATTAGTCCTGGCTGGTGGTAAGGACATTGACGCCAATGGGTACCCAGGTATACCAGTCAATAAGTTTATTATTAATAAATAATTATTAATTTTTGGTTTAGATTTAAGTGTTGGTGATTTGAGCGGATCTGAAGTGATGAGTATCAGAAGCAGTCCTATCGTTAGTGTAGAGGTTGAGCTACTGGAGACCGACCTGACCATTAATTATGCTGAAAAGAATTGCATTATTAACAACATTGAACTTGTCTGGTAAGTTTGAGTGGGAACTACGCAATATTGATTATTATTATTATTATTATTATTATTATTATTATTATTATTATTATTATTATTTTAGTTTCAACATCACTCCATGCTTTACTCTTACTACTGTTCATGGCAATGTACCAAATTTCAGTAAGTACACATAGCAGTACAAATGACTTTTTACTCTTTATCTGCTGCAATAAGAATTCAAGTACAGTCTATCAGTTGATCCAGTTACTAGGCGTGTTGGTCTTGCTGATAATCTTGAGTCGAACGTAGTGACTCGTGAAGTTGTATTGAGTGTTAACAGTGGCAGTAGAACCTGCACAAACACTAGTACCTATGTACTCCAGGTAATTTTGAAGCTTAATTGACTAGATCATGTTTACTTCATTTGCTACTTGTTCACTTTCTCTTTTATAATGTTTCTTTGTTTCTACTCTTTCTTCTACTTCTCTAGCCTGATTTCTCAAACACTGATCCATTTCCGTTAAGCATTTCAGTGAGTAATCCTAATACACTCCTTCCACTGGTCACTCCAGAAGACACACAATATGGAGGACCACTTCATCCTATACTAAACCAAAAGGAGTCAAACAACTTTGAAAAACAGGTAAGGCTAGAATTTTTTTTTTAATCGGGAAAAAATGTTTTTGTACCATTTTAGATCGTTCCAGAGTTTGTTTTAAATTGTGGCTCAGATAGAGTGTGTGACCCAGAGTATGAGATTGATGTTGAACTCATTGGAGAAACGTATGTACTCATGCTAGTCTAAATTAATCTTAAATTAAATTAATACTGCAAAAATTATATTACAAATTTAAGTCTATTTAATACAATCGATAATATGCTTGTGTGTGCTTGTATGCTAGGGATACTGTTCCATTGGCAGCTGCTTACACTTTTGGTGTTCAAGTTATGTTAAATGTGACCGAGGAGGACAGTCTTGCCCTGTCACTGGTTGCACTCATACCACCAGGGATACAGTTTGCCAGCTCAGTAAGTATAGTCCACTGTGATCATTAATTGTTGTTTT